CTTCTTCACATGGCATGCATAAGGTATTCCATGATGCCCAATGCCTGCTATTACCACCCACAGAACTACTCCAAAAGAATTGAGCAAAAATCTTATGTAGTCTATTAATAACATAACTAGGTGGATTTACAGCAGATAAAAGATGAATGGGCATTGTTTGTAGCACATTAGAAATTAGGACTGCTCTCCCTCCAATTGATAACAATTTACCCTTCCAACTCTGAAGTTTGTCTAACACTTTTGTAATCATGCTCTGATAATACTCCATCTTCCTCCTTGCATAGAATATAGGACATCCCAGATAAGTAAGAGGAAACTCCTGCCTCCCAATACCTGTGATCATTTCAACTTTTCTAAATACCTCCTCCTCTACTAAGTGATGCATGTATATTGCTGACTTTCCTTTGTTAACCAGTTGCCCAGAAGCTTTCTCATAAGCATTTAAAATCTCCATCACCAATCTTAATGATGTTGCATCAGATGAACAGAAAATGATTGTATCATCAGCATAAGACAGATGATTTATTTTAGGGCTCCATTTAGGCAATCCAAACCCACAAAAGTATAAATTTGAATGTAGAGAGTTCAGGCCTCTAGACAATGCTTCTGCAGCCAGAATGAAAAGTGTTGGTGATAAGGATCACCTTGCTTAACACCCCTAGTTGATCTAAAGAAACCTTTTGGTTGGCCATTCACAAGAATTGAATACCAATTGTTCCCAACTAGATCAAAAATCAGACCTATAAAAGCTTCAGCAAAACCCATCTTCCTAAGTACTTTGGTAAGGAAAAGCCATGATAGTCTATCATAAGCTTTTGCCATATCAAGTTTAATCACAACATTTGGGCCTGCTTTAGTTCTCAGTCTGATATCTGTAATGATTTCCTGAGTCAGCAACACATTTTCTACTATACTTCTTCCCTTAACAAAGCCTGCCTGTTCTTCAGATATTAAGTTTGGTAAAAGGTCAACCATCCTATCATGAACAATTCTGGAGAATATTTTGTTGACAAAATTGCTTAAGCTAATAGGCCTCATATCAGCAAAGGTCTTCACTTCTTTCTTCTTTGGCAATAGGACTAGGTTAGTGTGTGTCACACTTTTAGGCAATTGTTGACCACAGAAGAAAGCTTTCACCATATCTACTAAATCCTCTTCAATTATATCCCAACAAGATTGGTAAAAAGCTCCTGTGTATCCATCAGGGCCCCCAGCTGAATCACCACTTAGTCCCATTACTGCTTTCTTCACTTCCTCTTTAGTTGGTAGAGCCATTAGTTTTTCATTCTGCTCACTGTCTACCATATTAGGAACATGATTGAGAATGTCAAAAGTAGTTGGAACTGCATCTTCAGTGAACTGATCTTGGTAGAATTTCACAGCTTCTTCTGCAATTAGATCCTCCTCCTCTATCCAATTTCCATCACTGTTTTGAATTCTTGTCAATCTCAACCTTTTCCTCCTTCCATTAACTTGAGCATGGAAGAATTTAGTGTTCCTGTCTCCATCTTTAAACCACATCATGCCTGCTTTTTGCCTCCAGAATTCCTCTTCTAAAGCAAGATATCTGATCATTTCTGCTTGAACTTCCTGAAGTCTTTGTCTATTCATCTGACTTGGATTGACTTCAAACTGTCTCTCATGGACCAAAACAATTTCCTCCAAACTTGCAATCTTTTGGAAAATATCCCCATAAGTAGCTCTACTCCAAGTTGATAATGCCTTCTTAAGCTTTTTTAACTTGAAGTTAAATAAGATAAAAGGACTAGCACTAAAATCTGCAGACCAATTTTCCTTTACAACTTCCTTGAAAGTGTGATGTTTAGTCCAGAAATTAAGAAACCTAAAAGACTTCTTAATAGGAGGAGATTCAATATCATATTTCAACAACATAGGGCTGTGATCAGACCCTGTTTTGGATAAGTGAGTCACCTGTAAACCTGGAAAAGTTTGTTGGAACTCCATATTACCCAAGCATCTGTCTAATCTCTTAAAAATGCAATCTTCCTCTGATCTTCCATTCCACCATGTATAGATACTTCCCTTAAAACCCAAGTCTGTCAGATTGCAAGTATTAATGCAGTGTCTAAAATCATCCACCTCATTAATGTGCACAGGTAACCCTCCAAACTTCTCTTCTTCATCCCAAATCACATTAAAATCACCTCTCTAGCCATAGCATACAATGAGTCCCATAGTTCAATTCTCTCTATTGCATCACATTTTGCATATACCAAAGTAAGGATTAATTCCACATGTGTTTCTGTGTGGAATAACCTCAAAGTCAATTGTTGCACCATGTTGTATAAAATTGTAACTTCAAAAACCTCATCTATGAGAGCCCAAATCTTATTTGAAACATTCACCACTGCTTGTGCAAGCCCAATTCTCCTCCTATATCTCTCTAATTTACTTGCTTGTTGCATAGGTTCCAAGATACCTATAAATTCAAAATGATGCTGCTTATGCATTGCAATTAGTCTTTCAAAAGCCTGTTTAGTGTTAACAGACCTTACATTCCAGATGATTGCATCCATTAAAGATTTTGATTTTTAGACAAAGTTCTCCTTGTTTGTACACCTCCTGTTGGGACAGTTGATGCCTCCTTAGTTTGCTTTCTTTTGCCCTTAGCTGCAGACTTTACTTGATCAATTTGTCTAGGAGACAAATCACCTTGCCTAGCTATATTTAAGAAGTTCTGTGCAGTAGACTCTTCATCCATGTCTGCTGCCTGATCTTCTTGTGCACCTATCAACTTTTCTTTAGCTGCAACCATCATATTAGAACCTTTAGTGATAGATACAATTGCATCATCATTTTGATTGTTCCCCAATGGATCTATGTTTCCAGTCAGCTCCTGCATCTTCTTCTTTTTGTTCACTTCTACTGCTTCCCCTTCTTTATCATCTACCACATTTGGACTCTGCTGGGATTGTTGTACAGCCTGCCCCTTGTTGGGCTTAGCAACTGAAATGGGATCTGCATTTGCACTAGAAACACCAATAGGGTCAGGAATTGTTCCCCCTGGATCAATGTTGCTAATATCCACCTCATTAGTTGCCACAGTCTTCTCCTTGTTTAGCTGTTGTAGATCTGCCTCACCAGTTGCTTCTTTAGTATTTTGACTCTTCTTGTTGTTATGTTGCTGTTTGGCAACCCCTTCTTCATTGATTACAGCCTTAGGCACTGTAGATTCTGTACCTTTTTGTTTATCATTTACACTTGGATCCTCATCTTCTTTTGTATCCCCTCCATCTTCTTCCTCACTTTGCATTGCATCAGGTATTAGTCCTTCCTCTGCATCCTCTTCAGTCTGATTTGCCCATAGCTTGCTTCCACTCCATTTGATCTTTTCATTGCTTTTGAACACTTCAAAATCAGTGTCCACAATCTTTTCCTTCTGATTATTTTTTGCCAAATCTGCCTCCACCATGGTGTCTTGAGATGGTACCTCTTGAACTGAGGTATTTATTGCAACCTCATTGATTTTAAAAGCTCTTTGTACCCATGCTGCAGTGGATTCCTTCACCCT